AGGCGGTGGCGGCCTGGTGGGGCCCGGCTGAGAAGCGGGGCCCGGCCCGGCGCCTGGCCTGGGGGCACCTCCTGCCACTGGGCTGGGGCCGGCAGGCATTGCGAGCTGCTGCTTTCTGTCTGTCTGGTCGTGGCCTGACCGTACAGTTCAGGTTTGCTTTCTCGGCACCTAGCGGTCCATCGGGGAGTGGTGACTTGTGCCCTGGCGCACAAGCCGCTTTCATGCGTGTCCGTGATGGATAAAATTACTTCTTGCCTAGTTCTTGAAAAGCCAACGCCCTGTCAGTGCTGAGATCTCGTTTTCCAAGACTTGTATCGCGGGTTAAAATAAACTATCTAACTTGTACGAAATTACATACCCAGTTTGGCAGAACTGTACTTTCTTGCCCACAGGCTTCCTATTGATTGCTTATATTTAGATGGAACAATGTGGATAGGAGCCCTGTAGCTGGTTGACCTGTAGTACAGCATGACTTGTTTCATAGATAGGAAGAGAACTTAGTAAAGGAGTGTGAAGTTATAATTGTGTGCCTCCTGCTCTGTTTTACCATTGCCCAGAAAATAATATTGTTGTAATACTGAATCTTTACTTTTTTAGAAGTGCAACTGTACACTAAATTGTCTTTCTGGGCCCTTCATCATCCTGAGACTCTAGCTGCATCTGTATTTGGCGCCTTGTAATTCTGTGACAAAAAAAAATCCCTCACTTGAGATCTGTGTGAAGTATGGATCTAAGTTAACGGAGTCTCCTGTTGGAAGTAACCTGGGTACAGCAAAGCACAAATGCTGTTAGTGTGCTCAAGTGAGGCTTGGATGCAGAAAAGCTTAGGAACTCTTTGTCTTTTTCAGCTTACAGAAACTTTGTCAGGATATGGAAGCTCTAGTGTAGAAAAGATGGCCTTTTAGTCCACCATGGATTTGTTTTGATGTTTATCACTTTGGTCTTTGTTTTGCCAATTCTCGTTGCTGTTCTGATGCTTTTCTATATTGCCATACCTTCCACATCCAGGTCACTAGTGTCTTATTTTTACCAAATTTTTTTTTAATATAAAACCCTGAACACCATCAACATTCAGCTGCTGAATTTCAAAAGGTCATCTAAATGTTCAGATAGTACATTAAAGTTTGCAGCATAATGTAATGGATTTATTTTCTATGCAACATGGAAAAATAAATTATCTAAGTTTGCAGTCAGAATTAAGATCACACCTTTCTATATTGATTAGTGACTCTAAACTTGATGGGGATCTCTTGAATTCAGTCCATTTTTTACTTCATTATAGTGGCTAACTTCCAAAATACTGGATTTAGTACTTTTTTTAAGAAACAACATGTAGGATTTCCCCCCCCTCACTGGTGGTGTTCTTTCAAATAAAGTTGACTTGGAGATCTTTAACCAGGTGCTATAGCTCTGTATGATGTTTGAGTGCTAGCCAAATCCGAAGTTATTGCACTGACTGCTTGCTTACATCCTTTTTTTTTTTTTTAATACTGTCTATCAAGATGAAAGATTAAACTGGTTTTAGCAGTATGGCCCCCTTTCTCTACACCAAGTGAGCCAACTGTACCAAAATAGAGTTGAGACGAGGAGTAGATGATTTACAGAAAAGCTACGTAGCATGGGATGCAACTGAGGAGACAAATGGATTGACACTTTGAGTTAAAAAAAAAAATAAAATTAAAAACGTAACATGACCTGGCAGGCTAGATGACTAAGTTAGCTAATTAATTCTGTTCTGTGGGGTTTTTTTGCCTAGTACTCGAGTAAAGGTGCCTTAAGAAGATAACTATGGATAAATATATTAAAGTGCAAAAGATTGGAGAAGGATCTTTTGGGAAAGCAATTCTTGTCAAAGCTAAAGAAAATGGCCAACAGTATGTTATTAAAGAAATAAACATATCTAAGGTGAGTGATTATTGTTAATTAGTGATCCATTTTTTTTTTGTATTCTTCTTCTCAAAAATAATTATTTTCCTTCTAAAGATGTCAAATAAAGAGAGAGAAGAAGCAAGGAGAGAAGTTGCTGTATTGGCTAACATGAAACATCCAAATATTGTCCTGTACAGGGAGTCATTTGAGGGTAAGATTAATCAATACAGTAGAATCTGACGTAATAATAGTAACTGTCGGTGAATTACTTATTGCATGTAGTTTAAAAGTCAGTGTGTTTGCTATCTTTAATCGGTCTTCTTCATACTTTTATTACTTGCTTCAGTTCTTCTTGGTTGTATTTTTTTCACAATTCCCCTGCACATTTAAAAATAATAGTATTTTTTAAAAGTGCAACAATTAAACAGAAATATTCATGTCTCTTCCTTCCATGCATCAATTTTGATTAATGGTGTAATGAAAGGATTATGTTTTCTTGTTTCTCCAGAGTGTAAGTCTCTTATATGCTTGTGTATACCCTAACAACTTGAATACTTATGTATGTTAAATATGAATAAGTATGAGTATTGATAACATAGCAAGAGCAATTTTATCTCAATGTGTTGTCTTAAAATGCAGTCTTAAGTAATTATGATAGTATCACTTTCAGAGCTGGAAAAGTAGATCGAACTGTCTGTTTCATCAAGCTATGAAGGAGGAATAAATATAATGCCATCTTGTTTTCACAGTGAATGTCTTGGGAGATGAGCAGAACAGATTCCAAGACTCTATCATATAGGTTAAAATATCATTAAAAAGCCTAAATATTATTTGAGACTCTGTGTCAGAACACTGTTTTTTTTTCTCCTTTCCCTCCTTTCTGCTGACTTTCACGTGCCTTTTGACTGAAAGCTTTTATTTTTTCTGTTCATTAGATTATCATTTTGTGTCATAGTTACATTATGCAGCCAAAGTCTTCTGTTTTATAACTCCACACTTGTGCCTTCTCTGTAATAGAGGCCTGTTCTATAAAACTGCTTTTTTTCTTTTTTCTTCTTGTAAGGTATATCCTGTAATCTGTAGTTCATGAGACTTCATGTTGTGTCTTTATTGCTAAAATGCGTTAACTTTGAACATACTGATTTTTGTTTATAAAAGATAATTACTTCAGCAACAGGTCTGCAAGAAATTCAGATTCCTAGGGTCATCTTTTAAAATAATACCAATTATACAGCTTAACCAACAGCTGCAAGCACAAAAGAAAAATGCTGGGTTTGATCTTTTGAAAGACAGATTTCAGAAGCATTCTGCAGGCGACTTAGATTATTTGATTAATTTTGACTCTGTTTAGAGTTTGTAAGGACTATGATTAACTTTCATAAAAGAAGAATTTTTCTTTTGAGCAACATGTGATTGGGGGATTGGACTAGATGATCTTTTGAGGTCCCTTCCAATCCCTAACGTTCTGTGATTCTGTGTGATTCTGTGATTGTATGCATTTATTTAGCTCTTCTCAAAATCATGGCTAATGTGTAAGTTGTGTGGTTCATGTGGTTTTGGTAACTTGAACATTGCTTCAGTCCAGTCTTTTTTTTTTTTTCATTGGGGACTGGAAAAGATTGCATTGGGGAACAAAACTGTAACTTCGTATGAAATGTATTACATACGTTCATACATCCTAGTGGAAACTTGCAAAGGAGTTTTGAAAGTCCCCCAAATTTCATTCAAAAATGAGAAAATAATTGTTTCTATCTGCAATTGTCTGCTGGAAGTTTTATTACTGTTCTTCAATCTCTCTAGTGGACTGTATGCCTGATATGAGAGATATAGCTGTCGCTTTCTTACACTTAGTGCGAGTAATAACTTTTCCATGTGACACTTCAAGAAAGAATTAGGCAAATAGAGGCAACTCCCTGAATAAGAACTTGAGATCTCTATTTTTAGGGTAGGGGGTCTATAAGATGATTGAAAGCAAGTTGAAGAATGGTTTTATATTGCATACATAAAGTGACACCTTTAATTTCATGGTGATTTTGAACCTCATTTAGGGACATTGGTTCAGCAAATGTCTTTTTTTTTTCTTTCCATATCAAAACAATCTGGTGTTACCAGAAATGGAGAACTTAGGTTGTGAAACTCAAAAGTGTTTTCACTTGAAGTTTGAAGAAAGGACTAATTAATGATATCTGAAGATGCATGTGAAAAGGTTAATTTTTTTTGTTGCTTTTTCTGTGACTGCAATGAATGTAATCGAAAAGTTATGTTAAAGATGGGTCTTTTCTTTTTCCTTTTTAAATAGTTTGTGTTTTATTTTACAGAAAATGGCTTTCTCTACATAGTGATGGATTACTGCGAAGGAGGAGACCTATTTAAAAAAATAAATGCCCAGAAAGGAAACTTATTCTCTGAAGATCAGGTAACAGCAAACTGATGCTCTAGTGTTTTGTTGCATTATACTCTTTCATTAGTTTTACATTGTTTTGGTTCAGTTTGGTAGATATGGTTGCCTAATCTAAAAGGAGGTTTTCTAATTATGATTCTCATTGCTATCCATCACAGAAGTATCTTTAAAAAAAAAAATCAGCTGGAAATCCTGGGTATGTTAAGTGGGGTTTTGTGTATATATGTAAGATGCTTTAAAGAAAGTTGGATATCTTGCAAAGTAAACCAAATCTGAGAAATTAAAAATTCTGAGGGACAACATGAATATTTTTAAATCTTTGAAATTATTTTTTTTAAAGACATAACAGCACAGGAATTTTTGTTTGTATTACTAATTTTCATTTAGCAGAAAGATAAAATGATATAATTTGTAAGTATAGTAATACAAAATATAGCAATATGATGTTTACATCATTCAAAAGTTTGTTTTCATTAGGAAAAAAATTACTATCAAATTGGAAGTATACCAGCAGATTTTCATTTTCCATTGTACTAGTTATAAAGTTATTTGTACTGGGAGGGAATCTGGAATAAAAGAGAGGATTTTATATACAGGTTTTTTTAAGTTAAGTTAAAATAAATTATGTAGGAATAACTTTTTTTGTTAGAACTGATATATATGTCCTTGTCTCCTATGCTTTTGTGTCTGCATCTAGTAGGATCTCAATTTACCTGTGGTTGGAAAGACTTAGTAGTGTATTAGGTCTACTGGTGGTATTTAGAATAGCTTAATCATGAAACTTTTTGGATATAATTTGTAAAATTTTTCATTTTTCTAGTATTGGGCTCACTTTTACAAAAGGAACTTACAATGGAAAAGTGAAAATTACACCTTGCATTGTACCGTAATTTTGACATGTATGTGCTTGTAAGTTGGAAATGTGAAACTGCTATTCATGTGGAAAAATTCTTGCCATTATTCCCTTTTTATATTATGCTTTTTACAAAGTTACCAAAAAAATGGGTTGTGTTAGCTTGTTTGTAATCTTCTAGTTATGTTGTTTGTTGCTTTTCTCACTGAAATCTGCTTGTACTATTTTTCTTTTTAAGGTAAAATACGTAAAATTGTAGGGTGACAAAATAAGTGTTTCTGTAAACATCAGTATGGCTTTTTGGGGCTCTTAATTGATTAACTGACTGCAAAGACTAATATTGGCGTCCTGGTTTACCGGAACATAATTTTAGAGTCAGTTTTCTGTTCAGGAAAACTGCAGTTCTGTAAGGACTACAACACTATTTCATGGGAATAAAGTGCTAAAACACTTTTACAGGTTTTTGGCTGGCACTGGTATGTAATGACCAAGGTCTTTAGTAGTCTTGAGATAAACAGGTGCGGAGGCTGGGGAAAGTGGAAACTGAGCTGAAGGCTGAGCCCAGACTGACCAATTAGTACTACTCCATACCACAAATGTCATGTTCACTATGAACTGGGAAGTTTGCTGGGGAGGGTCTTCCTTCTTCCATGGCTATCATCTCACGAAGGACTTGTCTGCCATCCTACCCCTGAGGCCTACTCCTCCACTATATTCGCTGAGTATTACTCTGTGTACTTCATATTAATACTGTTAGTAATATAAGGTTTTTATTATTATTATTATATTATGTCTGCTTTTATTTCAACCCACGGGTGTTCTTTCCTTTTCGCAATTCCCCTCCATGGGTGAGGAGGAGTCATCGGGTGATAGAACAACCGTATAAACCACGAAAGTTTGTTACAGCAAAAGTGCAATCTTTAAGATGCAAGTTCCATGTCTTAAACACTTTAGCCAATCAAATTAATATTGCATACTATCAAGATTTAGGGCTGGGCTGGCCACTGAAAGATGGACAGACGCTCTCTATTAACCCCTCTCACCTCCCCAAAAGAGGAAGAGAAAGAGAACAAGGGAGAGAGACTTGTGTGTTGGAAAAGAAGACTAAAAGAGGTTTAATGAAACAGTAACAATAATACAAAAGGGTAATAATGCAAATAGGAAAATAATCAAATATATGCAAACCCAATATAAAATCCTGGATTGAGGAAGTGGATTCAGCAGCACATGGATCAGGATTGAAGACAAATGAACTAACAGAGTTCCGCTCAGTCATCAGCCATGCTTGAAGAAATGAAGAGGAGGAGGGGAAAAGAGAGCTTGACCCTCATGATCCCCCAGCTTTATATTGAGTGTGATGTATGTGGGATGGAATACCTTGTTGGTCAGTTTTAGGTCATCTATCCTGTCTGCTCCTTCCTGCAGGTGTGACATCTCACTCAGGGCACCCCAATACAGCACCCATGATGTGGCAGTGGCCTTGGTCTCCATAGACACAAGTATAACCAGGAGCTGTACTTATATACTATACCTAATAGTAACTACAAACATCAAGCACTTATCTCTTGTAGAAATGAACACTGTCTGGAAAAGCATGGGGTTAGTTTCAGAAAGCATAGTCACTTAGAAGAGACTTAACTGAAACAGTAAAATCACTGAATAGAGAATTAGTTCTATTTAGCTCAAACCAGGACACATACTTTTGTTAGCTTTATAATATATAATGAAACTAGTAGTCTCAGTCTTAGTATCTAATTCGAGTAATAGGCATCTTTCATTAAAAAGTTTGCATTATAGTGGCAGTAGTGTTATGTTTTTAATTATTCCATGGTATAAAGGAAGACAGGTTGGTGAGAAAAAGGTAAAATCTTGAGTTCTAATCATAAAACTGATTTGATAATATTTTCAGTTACGTAACTGGAGAAGATTTTAGATAAATAATGATACCGATGTTGCATTTTATTTTATACATAGATTCTGGATTGGTTTGTACAAATCTGTTTAGCACTAAAACACATACATGATAGAAAGATCTTGCATCGGGACATAAAGTCACAGGTATGTAGGTAATAATTTTTAAACTGAATTTGCTTACAAAGTTACTACATTCATATCTTGCTATTGTAAGTTGGAAAATTATGGAAAACAGTCTTTTTATGTCAATACTTATAATACTAGAAATAGTATTACTATTAGTATAGTAGTTACTATTATTACTATACATTTTATTATTGGTAGCAATTATTATACTACAGAAATTACTGCTATAGTATTACTATACTTATTATTACTAGTAGTTATTGTACAAGCAGATGCGGCTATTTGATGATGCTACTTTAATATTACTCATATATTTACTCATATATTTATATGTGTCGACAGAAAATGTTATATTTTTGAATGAAAGTGTTTTCTTTAATTTTGATGAAGTAGGGGATAGAGTGAGTGTGGTGCTTCATAGTAGTCAATGACACTACTGCTAGTGACTTCAGGGTGATTGAATGGTAGAAAACATTATTCTTCCCAAAATATGTTGAGAACAAAAGCTCCGCAATTGTATGAATGTTTAATTAACAGACTTTTAAAAATTTCTGTATCAAGAATATATTTTTAACAAAAGATGGAACAATACAGCTGGGAGATTTTGGGATCGCCAGAGTTCTTAACAGGTAACTCCTTTTTGATGTTGTTTTTTGTGACTTAATCTAAATCGCTTTCATCTAGAAAAACACTGTGCACTTCATGCCAGTTAACTAGTTAACAGTCACTCTTATTTTTCCCTTAGTACTGCTGAGTTGGCTCGCACTTGCATTGGAACACCATACTATTTGTCGCCTGAAATATGTCAGAACAAACCTTACAACAATAAAAGGTACTAATAAGCATTTTATTAATACTTTTGGTTGAAGAGATTTCTTTAGTAATCTAAAACTGTTCTATTCATATGATGATGAACAACCGCTAGTTCAGCTCTTACCCAAGAAGATACTGAGTCTCACTGTACAAGTGGGACCTTGGTAGATCTGTGCAATGTGATGCAGAGATGACTTAGCTTAATGCTCTGAGTTCTAGATCTAGTTGTGTTCTTAATTATGGCTCTACTTTTGCTTCTCTATACACTAGTTGTGCTGCCTTAGTTTATGCAGTATGAATGTGAAACCGTGTTAAGGGTGAAATCACAAACACAGTAATTGGATTCTGAGGCACTTGGTCTAGTGGAAAGTGTCCCTGCCCCTGGCAGAGGGGTTGGAACTAGATGGTCTTTAAGGTCCCTTCCAACCCAAACCATTCACTGCTTTTCGAAGCACATACGTAGACAGGTTGATCAGCTTGCTTCGGATAACGAAGTCATACAGATACTGTGCTTTTATGTCTGCTGTCCTGGCAGTAGACTGTTTCTGGTAACAGCATCCCTAAATGTAATTAATGTGGTCATTATCAAGTTAGTCTTATGCTTCACTAAGCTGCTGCATCCATTGCTGTGAGTGCCTTACACTAATTTCAATTTGTTTCTTAGAAGATAAAAATGTTTACAGTTTCTTGTCCCTTAATTTCTCTTACATGAGATTTATTATTCAGTTGTATTCTAACAAATTCTGTAATCCTATAATGAGTGAGGGTAAAGTAAGTCAATATTAAACAGAATAAATCGACTTTAAGAATTGTACTTGCTGAACTGGGTCGTTGTTTTTATTTTGGTTTTTTTTGTTTGTTTAGTTCAAAGACCTCAGGCAAATGTATACATTTAAAGAAATAAAGTATTTGTCTGTGTTTTGTCTAATTTCTCAGATTGATGTGGTTCAGATGAAAAGGTCTAAATAAAATTTGGAGCCAAAGTAATGTCCTCTGATTTTCAGGTTGGCTTTATTTTTGGCTGTTGAATTCTTTTTTTTTTGTCTGGGTTTTTGTGGGTTGGAAGGGGTGAAAGGTACAAGGGAGCTTGTACGCACTCAAAATACAAGTTTTTATTTTCTTTTTTATAGACTTCATAGATGTAAGTTATTTGGCAATGTTAAACCTAGAACTAATTCTTAGGTATGTTCTGTTTGATTTAGTGATATCTGGGCCCTTGGTTGTGTTCTCTATGAAATGTGCACACTTAGACATGCGGTGAGCAAGAACTTCTTGTTTCTTTAAAAGAATAGTGATTTCAGACAGGGATTTTAGCTGATATTATGCAAATGTATTTCAGTTGATGAAAGGCTTTCATGTTGACTTTTAAAAATTACCTTCAGCATTTTAATCTCCTCTTCCTATCCTGACCAGCATCTTCCATCTGTGTTTTGGTTCACACCAATCTTTCCAGAAATCTTAGCACTGTATATTTTTCTTTCAATGTAGATTTTTGATGAACTGTGTTAGCTGAAAAAATCGTTAGGTGCTGTAACAAATGACACTGTGAATAGTGTTTCTTTCTTTCCAAAAACTTCACATTTTCATTGAAAGTCTGAATTTAGATTATCAGCATTTGTGCAGGTGGATTAATGCATTGCTGTTTACAACAGAAATAGTTCTTAGACAATAACTCCCAAGGTTAAAGAGTTTCTTCTTTTTTTTTAATGTGTGTGGTGTTTTGAAGAATGCATCTTTGTCATCCATTTTCCAGTTAGGGAGGGAAGAAAAAACTTATTTTTTTCTGTCTTGATTGTAGTTTTTTACTGTTTGATTGGGTTTTTTAATGGCTATTTTTATTAAAAGAAAAACTATGAAAGCATGAAAATCAGAAGAAAAAATTCAAGGGATAAGGATTTAATTTCCGTTCAAGATTATGAATTTCTTATTGTTTGGTCTTTTCTGTGGCAGCTGTGCTGACAATGTTGCCTTTCTGAGAGTTGATCACCACAGGTATTTTTTTGTGAGCTGGGTGATATGTGCTGTTTTCTTTTTATTGTACAAAGGAATTGAAATGATGTGCTCTGCTTCCTGAGCTGAAGCTGAAGTCTAAGCATTCCTTTGGATTTTACACTGAATGAGTGTGAATGCTTTACATTATTTCACTTGAAATGCGGCTTCACCATAAAGGACGGAAGGCATGTGGTGGTTGAAAGTGTTTGGGAGAGGAGATCGAGCAGATAATTATATAATTATTTTTTCCTTAATTATTTATCGTTGTCAGCCTAGATCTACAGGGAAACAATTATTTGTTAGCAAAAGTTATATCTATATAGTATGAAATATCTGTATTATGATGTATTTATAATGAGAATATTTGGCAGCATATTATTTTAAACTATTGATGTAGACTGTTAATGGCCTTGAAAATTATTTTGGTATGCTAAAGCAAAGGAAAGTATGACATTTTTTTGTTTTCATCTTTATATGTAGCCTTACATGTGGACAGACAGTAAGTAATAAGTAGTAACTGCTTTCTTTCTTGTGTGGTATAGTTTGAAGCTGGTAACATGAAGAACCTGGTACTGAAGATAATCTCTGGACGTTTTCCTCCTGTTTCTATGCATTACTCCTATGACCTACGTAATCTGCTGTCACAGTTATTTAAAAAGAATCCTAGGAATAGACCGTCTGTAAACTCCATATTGGAGAAAAACTTTATAGCCAAACGGGTTGAAAAATTTCTCACACCACAGGTATGGAGTTAGTTTTAATTCTAATTTTGCTGAAAACATCATAAGACTTTTATTTTTCTTTTTGCTAATGTTAATATACAACATGAGAAACTAGAATAATGGTATTCCCTAGAATTTTTGTAGAGACACTTTCAGCTGAGGAAAAGAGTTTTACTATGAATTGTAAAGAAAAATCTCAAATTACTTAAGTATTTGGTAGCTTCCACAAACAAATTCAAATTGGCATTTTCTTGAGTGCGTTGTTTTGTGTGTGTTTCTTTGATTGGGCTGGCCAAAAAGTAATGGTGGGTTTGTTTTGTTTTTTTAATAGATGGCCATACATGTCTTGAAATGTGACTAACTTCATTTTAAGCTGCAAATTCATTATGTAACTTGACAGCTGACAGGTCAAGCTTGTTTTAGAGAAAGGAAGTGCGAGATTTCGTTAGCAATTACTTATTTGGCATCAATTTTCAAAATGAAAAATTGAAAGGAACATCATATTTTGCTGTATTACTTCCGAACAGGAAAAAACGCTTTGCAAGCTCAAAAAAAGTTATGTCATCTGTATGGTGAAGATGCCTTAAAACTATGGCAGTATCGGAATTGGTTTGCTGAATTTTGGTCTGGAGATTTTGATGTTAAAGATGCACCTCTAAGGAAGGATAGTCAAAGTTGATAACAACAAAATAAAGGCATTGATAAAGTCCAGTTGGCATTTAACAACATGAGAGATTGCTGATAGTCTTAAGAGGTCAAAATTGAGTGTTGAAAACCATTTAAAACAACTTGGATACGTTAGGAAGCTTGATATTTGGGTACCTCATGAGCTCCAAGAAATTCCTCTCACTGGACATCTGCAATTCTCTCTTGAAACATAAGGAAAACAATCCACTTTTGAAACATATGATAAGAGGCAATGACAAACTTGCTGTCTACAATGACATATGAAAAAGATCATGGAGCAAGCGTGGTGAACCAGCTCAAAGCACTTCATGAGCAGGTACTCACCAAAGGAGTTGTCTGTTAGTCTGGTGGGATTTCAAATGGTTTTGTGTATTTTGCATTGCTTCCCAGGAACCAAACCATTAATTAGGCTGTGTACTGTTGTGAACTGGATAAATTAAATGATGCCATCAAACATAAGCGTCAAGAATTGGTGAACCTCAAAGGTGGTATGTTTCTCCACGATAACGCTAGACCACATACAAGTTTGGTCACTCGTCAAAAAAACTGAGCTTGGATGGGATGTGTTACCACATCCATTATATTCACCAGACCTGGCACCATCAGACTACCTTTAGTTTTGTTCTTGATAAAATACCTTGAGTTGAAAAACCTTCACTGCTGCTGAGAATATCAAATCCTACTTGGAACTGGTTTTTGCCAAATAAAATAAGAATGTTTTTGAGTGCAGAATCATGAGGTTGCCTGGAAGATGGCAAAAGGTAATTGAACAAAATGGACAATATATTGTTTAATAAAGTTTATTTTCTCATGTAAAATTTGCCTTTACCCAGAAAAAAATGCAATTACTTTTTGGCCAACCCAATATATAGTGAGAAACTGTGAGTGAGATACTGATTTTAGATATGTGTTTTTCCATAAAATGATGCTGTAAATTACTTCAGCACTGCTGTTTTATCATAATTTCTTTCATTCATTTTTGTTTGGATTTTGGAATGGCCTGAAAGCATGTTCTGTGAAATATTGCTAAGTAAAGTAGTCTTTAAATTTCCCGATGTTTAAATGTATGACGTGTATATAACCTCAGAGAAGTTGCACACTATTCTGTTTAGAATCTTTTGATAGTATTTAATAGCTATTCATGTCCTTTTAATATAAATCTAATCAGAAGAGATCAAAATAAGTGAATAGTACTGATATGAGATAAATAAATATAGACGGAGAAAGGACCTGGAGGAAATGAATGCAAAAGGAGACCTCAGTAAGTATTTTAGAATTCCAGTGGATTCTAGTTCTCAACTAAAGAAATGTCACGAGAAGGCTGTATATAATTGGAATCTCAATTGTATATGAAATAGACTTTCAACGAATAATAGTTCAGATTAAAGTCCCAATGAGAGATTCCAAAGTCTTTACAGATAACTTTCTTCCAGCTTTTGCGACAGTAATAGTTTGATCTGCTTTTATTTCCAGTAGCTAGAATGGATATTAAATTTTTATTTGGAGTTAGTCAGGCAAAGTATAATTAGTAATAGAATACTACAAGATGATGACACTGATTTTAGCTGGAGGTGGTCATTTTGTGACACAGCTGTAATGCCTGTTGTCTTCTGGTTTCATCCATGGCTGATGCTGTTGTCCTCTGTTTTCCTTAGTCAACTATGGAAGATCTCTTAAGATTAGACATCTTCAACGCATTGCAACTATTGCTGAAATCCTGCTCTTAAATGACAGGATATCAGTCTTCCAGTTTTATATAAATTCGTTCTTAATTTTCATAGTTACTAAGTTACAGTAAAGAGTGGTTCAAAATTAGCATAAATTTTAAAAAAGGACAAGTCACGTTTCTTTTCTGTCAATAGCTCTGTTACCATGGAAACATCATGCTTCGGTTGTTACAGCTTACCACCTAAATAAAAGCTTCAAAGTCAATGAAATACCATTAGTAGAAGATCATTCTTGTGTGTGACTTCTTGCTTACAGAATCTTTTGATGACAGACTATACATGTTAAAAAGTTTTATCTGCCATCATGTGCAGTCCTGGGTTCTGTGCTTTGCTTTTTGGGTTTTTTTGGTTGGCTTTTTTTTTCCAGTTTTAACCCATTGACATCTGTTGTAACTGACTGGTAGCCTCTAAGCAAATCTTCATAATCAGTTTAGTTCAAGATTCTATAAAGACTATTCCTTAAAGCCATATGGTTTAGTGACTATTCAGTTAACCTTTCTGTCAGTTGTCAGAACATTAAGTAGCACATTTCCTGGCATGCTTGTCTCTAGAAAGGTGGTCTGTAGTATGGCTATTTTATCTGTCTGCCAGTAGCTCTGCTGTTGTAAAAATTACCTTTGCAGTTCCTATCCTCTGAATACTCTGCATTGGTAGCAGCAGTTGCGGTACTCAGATTCAGCAAGAGGTTTGAGAGCAGGATGTTAGAAAATGAGAACGTGGTGCTGGCTCAGCGAAAAGTCAGTCTCACTCCATATCATGTGGGCAGTGAACAGTGGCTATAAGGAGTGCCTGGTGAGGCATATAAAAAGCCTATGTGTCTTTACCCTATAGTACTTTCCCAGCCTTCATCTTTTGTTGCCTCAATTGCATCAGCTTAGGAACCATCTTCATTGGTGTTTAGTCATCTTCAATAGATTTCTCATCCACAAGCTTATTTATCCGATTTCTCTGTGAACCTGTGTAAGTTTTTATGATCAGTAAGAAATTTCACAGGTTTGCTACTTGTTGCAGAAAGTATCAACTTTGTTTATTCTACATCTTCTTCCTTGTATCCCGTTGTACCTCACTTATATTGATATTATCATTTGCTGCCCTTATGTTTCTCTGCTTTGTCTGCAAAATCACATGTGATATTCTAGACCTGTCACGTTACATCTCAGTCATCTTTTTTTATAGGCTGAAGAGCAAGCTTATTTATTCTTTGTGCTGAAACTTTTCAACAATTCTCACTATCCTCACTGCTCTTCTTTGAACCTTATTCATTTCTACTACATGTTTTTTGAGGTGCTGGATTCAGAGCTACATGCAGTATTCAGTATGATGTGAGATGGCCTATTCATGTTTGAATGTTCTTTGTCTGCACTCCATTTTTTTTTTACTCCAGTAAGGCTGTTTTACACATTTTATTATGCTAATTTGATAGGCCTGACAGCATGATGTGTATGTTGTTCCTAAATACCCACATATGTAGTCATCATCCCATCTCGAAAAGGTAAAAGAAACTAAAAACTGCAAGCATTTCTAAAGGAATATATTTTTTTTACACAAGCTGTCTGAAAGTTTGAAGTGTAATTTGGTAACTGTACAGAAATCTAAAATGAACTATGCATAAAACTATGTTGATGCTCACATTAACTTTCTTCTAGAAAAGTTACAGTAAATACTGTTCGTTAGGTGCTTGGGAGTGCCATGCTTCTCTGAAACAGAATTCTTTCTAGCTTCAGACATAAATACTATTGGCTGACTGTTCAACTTTTGTTTAGCTTATTGCAGAAGAATTCAATCACAAAATCTTCCAGAAGTTTGGACTGCATGCTGCACCAGGTGAGTGAGTGTGTAAAGTGCTTTTGGTTTCAGCTCCGGCAAGATAATGTATGTAGTTTTGTTCTTTTATTTGGTTTAATGTGTTCTTATACTTGATTCTAGAAGTTTCAGGAAAACAAGGAAGCAATTTTCCCCTCTTCCCTGGGGAGCTGGATATCTGTAAGGGTACAAATGGTGCAAGTATGCTATGCTTCCAAAATTTAAGAGATGGCGAAGACTGCAAACACTGGAAATATTTTGTGTTCTTACTGTATAATTTTTCCCCTTACTAATGACAAATAGATAATCAAAAATACCAGTTTAGAGATTCCAGTTTTAAGCACTGAATTCAACCCAAAGCAGTAGAATTTCTGTTACTGATAGAAAATTAGGTTGTGGTTCACTTTGTCAAGATGGTCTTCATTCTCCTGCATCATTTTACCCTTTTTTTCCCCTGGATTTTCTTCCCCTTTATTTTATTTCCTTGTAATTACTAAAAGCTGTGTTAATTGCTTTGGTGTCTTTTGATGGTGTTATGTGTTTCACTGCTGTCCTGCTATTGTGTAGTAAGAGAGCCCTGCTAGCACAGAATCAAGTCCACAATATTCACATATTTTCAGGAACTCTACAGGGAAAACAATAACCCTGAAAGACACTGATGCTATTCCAGAACTCATCTTCTGCTGACATTAGTACTACAGAATAGAGTCCAGTGTTGTCAGTGGAGGGAGGCTTGTCTCTCCATTCGTTTAGGGAAACTTTTCCCTGTGTCCATGACAACAGGATAATAAAGCATGGCAGCTGAAATAAGCTTTAATTCTCCACCTTAAAGAGAAGTGTTCAGAGTGAGAAGCTCAGGAATTGTGTTCTGCTGTTTAGTATTAAGCATGAAATTTAGTCAAGCTGTTTTGGACAACTGGGTGTATTGCACTTATACATCAGCCTAAGTGAATGAAATGTTAGCAGTTCACCTGTTATCCTCCAGCTTTGCTGTTCCAAGACTTTGGGAAAGGGAAATATGGTACACTGCCCAGTCTGGAAAGCTGTAAAACAGGTTTGGTTTTTGTTTTGCTTTGTTTTGTTTTTTTCATTTTAGCTAGAAGACCAGCTCAAGAGCAAATGCTGACTTCAGTTGCACCCGCTCAGAAAATTACCAAACCTGCTGCAAAATATGGAGTGCCTTTAGTAATCAGGAAGTCTTGTGATGCACCTAAAAAGCCTAATGAGAAGAAACCATTGGCTAAATTTAGGCAGGTAAGAAGCTATGTTACTTAAATTGAACTGTTTTACTTAGACCTTATTTAAATGCTATGAAAATACTATGCAATCCTTTTCAAAATGTCTTTTATATGGACACATGCATCTGCAGAGAAAGTAGTAGCAGTTTAAATGCTTGGTTTGCTTCATTACTGATTTTTTTTGTTTGTTTAGTTGGTTTGAATATAACTTTTTTTGTAGACTGCTACCTCAATACCAGTGGTTTTTAATTCTACTGCTGAATTAGATGTGCTTAGCATGTTTTCAGTTCCCTTGTTGTTAGAGCTCTTAGAAATATTGAAAGTCTGTCAGGTATACCAAGATCATCAGTGCTGAAGAAGGATCTTTGCATCTTTCTTCCTTGTTCAAAAATAATCTCGGATTTTTGAAACAGAAAACTGCTTTAGACACTTTCTAAAGTGTTGCCAGCCAGAGAAATTGGATAATTAAAAGAGGACTTAATTCCATGAGCTAATAAGAAGTAATCTTCTGTATGCCTTCATATAGTACTTTTGATCTTTCTTCCAGTCATCTTCTCTGTAGTCTTTATTGCATATTTTTTTTCCTCTTTCTTTATTTCTTTTATTACTTCCTGGGCAGGAGATGTTTATGAAACAGCTAGTTTTGAGCTATACACACGCACCAAACAACTAGCAACCAAGAAGCTCCCACATCACCAAGAGAACTAATTTGAATTTTCTTCTGAATGAGAAGTATTTTAGTTGTTGTTGTTGTGGGGTTTTTGTGAATTCTGGAGTTTTCTTCTGTCCTCCCCATGGCACTTTGGGGAACATAATACTGAGTTCTCTGTCCATCTGTCAAATTTGATAGGTGGAGAGAAAGTTTTCCTTGAGATACAACTTATCCTTGAGGCTCAAAAGTTACCAGAGATTTAGGGAAAAACTCATTGATCACACAAGCACTGTTGTCTTGTGATACACGGTATGAAAAAGGGATCAAGAAGTGAACACTCAGATTTCTTTTATGTCCTTGGGAGACTGAGCCTTCTATGTTTTAGGGCTTGGTTGCGCAACCATCTGCTAGTCTGCTGTCTTTACAATCAGTTTCACCAGCCAGCACTGATACAACTTGCATAGAGACTTAAAGTGGCAGAGTAGAGACCGAGGAAATACCCTCCTGCTGCATGGAAGGAGTCCGTAACACTGCAATTTTAAGACATATTCTTTGTTTGGATTGTGCAAAGGGATAAGATTTAGGGTAGAAACAATGGCTACAGTGTAATACAAATTTTCTTTTTGCTGTTAGTTCAGGATAGTCTGAGCTTGCAGCTGTCAGGTGCCTTCTCAGAGTAGCCTGTAACAATCATCTCCTTTGATGATATTACATTAACTCACTGTAGTTGAAATATATTGACTTAAGTCTCTAAAGACTTCTGTCTTCTGAAATACTTGATTTTAATTTAGTCATTTGATAGGATTTTAGGTTGTCAAAAGCAAATGCTATGAAGCTCTCTGTGTTCTAGTATAGTCAGAAAAGAAGTGCTTTAAAAGTAACCATCACTTTTTTGAGAAGACTAGAGCAAGCAGCATAGCTGTATATGTATAGGTGCTTCTTTACCAGGTGTTCAGTAGTAGCTGGGTTCTCTTCTTCCATAGGTAACAAGAACCTTGGTTAGAGTTACCCAAGTGAAAGAACCTAAGGGTAACATAATACATCTGTTCTCCAAATAAAAGATAATCTTAATATCTAGGGACCTTCAAAGACTTATAATAGAACAGATTGTAATGCAGAGTGATGTTGCCAGAGAAGAATAATTAAGACAAAACAGATTTTAAAATTATTGCTTTCAGCTTTCAAGACAACTTTTATTAGAGGATGAACAAGTACAGTAGCATTTACCCCTAGATCCTAGAAGTGCTTTTCATTTAAAACCTCCTGAACAATTAATCATTTTAAAACTCCATTTTGCACCTACTATGTTGTGGGTTTAAGATTTTGGTGTTTTTTTCTTATTAGAATTTTTCTCTCATTCTGGCATCATGCTGTCTCATTTGAAGCTTCACCTTTTATCCAGGCCTTTCCAACTCCAATTAAGAAAATGAATCCAGGAGAAGAAAGGAGGAAAATGTTTGAGGTATCATGAAATCATCTGTTAATTTTTAAATTAAACAAAAGCTAAAAGCAGAGCAAGAACGACAAAATAAAACCTTCAAACCTCTCCTCCTTATCTTTTCCCCTGAACATTATGTAAAAGTGATGTATTTTGTTTGTTTAAATCTTCGTGAACCTATAACAGCAATTGGAGCACTAACCTATCTTGACAGAGACTTGACAGGATAATGGCTCAGTAATAAATACCAAATTATATGTTTATTTTTCAGGAACCTTCAAAAAAGAAAAGGTTAGAATTACTTGAAAAAGAAAAACGCCAGAGAGATCAGGTAGACAAGATTCTTGAGACTTCCTTTTTCCACCCATGGTAGTTGTAATGAGATATCTTGTGGTGTGGTGTGTTATATGTTGCATAAAAATATGGAGTAGTTCTATTTCCCAGTTACTAAACATGTTTAATCCTTACACATTGCAGATCAGTTTGCTGAAGGCAGATGAAATGAGAAGATTGGAAAAAGAAAGGGTAAAATATGTTTAAAATGTGTTAGTAGTGAAGTTCAATTTTTACTTAGCGATTCCTTGAATTATGTTTTCCTGTACTGTTTTCTCCTTCAGATGGAACGAATAAACAGAGCCAGGGAACAAGGATGGAGGAATGTGCTTGGTTCAGGTGGAAGTTGTGATGTTAAGGTTGGCAGCAGATGCAGAAATGTGATGTAGTCTGTTCTCCCCACCTTTGGTTATCTGGCATGGTCTTCTCTTTTCAGAAAGATCTGCTTGTGGAGGTCAACTCTTGGGGCTGCCCATTATTAATCTATGGTTAATTTAAGAGGAACTGTATAACAGATTCTCTTCCCTGGCTTTTTGGAGATCACGTGCAATTTTCATTTGTTACTTACTAAATTTCAGAATCTCCTCTCTTTCTGCCAGTGATGGTCTTCATGCACCACTTTCTTTTTTCCACTCCTGCTTTTGCTACTTTTCCTGTGCTGAATCTATGCATGAACAGCTTCTTTTACATTCAAGTTTGTTCTTGAATTCTTTTGTTGATGTATTTTTCCAGGTTCTCATATTATGATAATGGACCTCTTCCTCAGTATTAAAAACCTGCTTCTAAACATTCTTTGTTATTTAGCAACATAGACAATGTTTATATATACTGATAAGTTGTTTGGGAAGGGGGTAAAAAATCCTAAGTAAAACTTTTTCTGAAAGCAGTAAACTCTTTAGCCATTCATTTCTTGCATAATTTAATTACATAATTTAATCTGATTCCTGACAGTTTCTGCCTTTTTGTGTGTGTCAACATAACTATTCTGGAATGTAGTCTCATGAAGTTATTTGAATATAAAGGTCTGGGTACTTTCATCAGACAGAGTCAGTGCAGGAATTTAGGTATTGCTGTGGTGTAAATCTATTTGACAATAGAAAATGGATTAAAACACAGCTATTTGTTGTGGTGGTAGTGAGTCTTACAAAAATACTTGGCCTAAACATGTTTAGTAGGATTTTTGTAAACAAGCTGTGATTGAGGAGTAGAGTCAAAATGAATAGAGGTTTTGTTCCTTGTGCAAGAATATGAGGACTACACAAGCACTTGACTAGGTTTCAGTAGCTGCTTATTAAGTATATTACTTCAAAATAGACATCATCTTTGATGTGTGCCACACATCACCTAAGTAAAGCTTAAATATAAAAGCAAACTGAAGCAGACCGGACTTTAAAAACTACCAGGTGCTGATTTAAGGGGAAAAAAATTTTAAAATGTCATTTGGTTCCTGTGCCATTCTTCTCTCTCTCTCAAGATGAAACTGTCAGGCTTCCATATAACAGGATGTATCAGCATCATCGCTTTTGGATAAGAGCTATGTGTGTTCCTGAAAACAAATAATGTTTCTGATTAACTTTGAGAACTTTATTGTAAGGTCCTTAGACATTGCAAGTATGTGAAGTGTTCTGTTGCAGCTACAGCTGCATTGTTATCAGTATTCTCGGTCATCTAGGGAAGCAGGTTCAGTGGCTGTGTATATTTTCACTAAGTGTCACTGGTGTAAAAGGTCATAGCAAACATGCTTTAAAATTCATTGAAATTTGTTCTCCAGATTGGATAGTTTAGTAAAATTTTACTACAGGCCGCTAGGTTGTCATAATTCCAGGTTTCCATATACTATAATAGTCTTTTTGACTTCATTGTCCTTTTCCTTTCTCCAATGTGAAAACAGTGTATCAAGGAACTCCCTGATGATGCTGTTGAATAGCATTGTTCAAGCTTTGCAATAATGCAAGCTGTATAGAGCTCTGAAGGCACAGCAAGGTCATGCATGACGTGGTTTTCTCCTCTTGTGTTTTGGGGTTGGTTGCTGGCAATTCTGAAGAAAAGCAGGGAAAGTGGTGGTAAGGATTTGGGTTTGTAGTTCTACCAGGGGCTGTAACTGTTCTGCAGATTGTCGATGAGCACCCGCTTCATCACATTTGCCTAGAGACTGATCATACTCTTTCTTCAGATAATCCTTTGAAAACCTCAGCTCTACTAATGATAGGTGAAACTTTGAATAGTGTCTAAAGCAAGACTTTGCCTTTTATCTGTAGAAACTATAGTCTTGCATAGTAAATAATTTTTATTCAGATGAACAGCATCCCTGGATTCAAATAAATTCAGTTAGTATTCTATCACATGGATTATGGGGAGCTGTAGATGGGTGTTGAGCAACTGAAACTCAGAATGTATGCTGAATTCCATTGTCAAATTAATCTGTTCAAGAACTTCTAAGTAAGCAGTCTTAAACCTCTCACCTCTGCACTCACCTATTTGAATTTATTTAAAATACTTAAGGCCACTCTGGAAGGAACATTGACACTATTGTTAAAACAGATACCACAGATTAACTACCATGGGCCATTTGACTGCTTCCCCCAGGAGTAAATGGAACATTTTTTTGCATGCGCTGACAACCTTAACCTTGTTTTGCCAGTTTCACATTTTCTTCATCCATCCTTGGCTACTACTGTACACAGCTGCTTGCAACATTTTTTAAATTAGTATTATTTTCACATGAAGGTTCTGTAGGAATTTTGATTCTTTGAGGATGACAGAGATAATGCACATAAAGCAGGAGCTTGTGGTAGATGCCCCTCTGATCTAAGTTTTAGTAGGGAAGTATCTCAGTCCTGGTGACGAAACCAAATTATGGATTGGTAACAACAGAGATTCTTAGATAAAACTGCACTTAATGCCATTCAGGAACCTTAGAAGTGTGCTTAACTGTTTCAAGCTTTGTGGGAAAAAAAAATGGGTGTATGGCTACAAGTCACTCATTACTACTTCAGTTAGAACTGTATCACTTTCAGCTTTTGTGCTAAAACTTTGATCTGTATCCAATTACACTTCAATGGATTTATTACCAATAACTTCCAAAATATATTGGAAGTATACAAGATGTCTCATGTATAACTAGGCTATTATCAGAGGGAGGTAAAATGCTGTGTTATTCTGAAGTGCTAACAGAAGAATAAGTTCTTTATTTATCTATCTTGTAGTTCATTAAAACAGGGACATGCCAGAAATAAAACTAGTACTAATTCAGAATTGTTGCAGGACATTTTAGTGCTTTATTCTGCTGAAGAGGTGAAGATTGGAAGGGCTTGTTGAAACCAGTATTTGAGATTTCCACCCTACCCCTTCTGATTTCCAGGCACCATATTATGGCGGTGGAGGTGGTGTTGGTCCTTTTCCTGTGTCTTCCAGAGGACAATATGAACACTATCATGCTATTTTTGACCAGATGCAACAGCAAAAGGAAAATATTAGAGTAGCTGAAGAAAGGGAAGCCAAATTGAGGGTGAAAGAACAAGGCCGAGAAGTTGTTGAAAGGTATGGCTACCTTCTGTTAGAAGTTGCATGTTGTCTCCTTTAGATGAAAGTAATGAAAATTACTGTACGTATTTATCTACAGAGGAATTCCACCTGGAATACGTCCAGGAGCTCCTAAGGGCCCTGCAGGTCATCACCATTTACCTGATGCTGATGCAGTTAGGAAAAAAATGAAAAGATTGAAGGAGGTGTCTAAACAAGCCAATGCAAACAGGTTGGACTAGGATAATCCATACGTCTGTCCCTACATGTTAGATTCTTGTTCTGTGTCTTGTTTCGCTTAGTAGTTGGACATGTCTCAAAATCACTTTTATCCGTTGGTACTGTACTGTCTGTTTGTGTGTCAGTCCCTCGCAGATCATGGTTCTTTTAGAACCAACAGGAACCTTGGCATCCCCAATAGTGGAAAAAATGTGTTACTAACAACTGTAACTAAACTAGATTTCAGTCAGGATTCTTGGCTTAGTGCAGTTACAGGTAACATTATGAGCCTTCTCTTTCACTTTTTTCATAGTTGTACTTTCTTTGTTACCTGCCAAGATGCTTCCTTCGCCTATCATCTCCTTCTGGCTGCCTTTGGTACCTTAAGTGTTGGACACTCTAGCATAGGAAAGTGTCTAGAATGCTTCCAGAGTTGTTAACCCCTGTTTATTTTTCAGTGGAAAACTTCCAGGAGCTTTCTTCATCAAGTTGCAAATGCTACATGTTGTAGTGGTGTGCAGCTTCTAATTTGGTGATGCTTACTTTTTGCAATTACAATAAACTGAGTATTTTTTTATATAAAAGTTTTGTAAACTAGTATATTTTTTATGGTTTCACTCATTCAAGTAGCTTCTTCAAAACTCCTTTGCTTTCCTTCAGATCTGTTAAAATTACCCAAAGAACTGTGTCTGCACTTGTGAGCAGTAAATGGGAAAATACCTTTTTTCTAGAAGTTTAGTACATATGGGTTACTAACTAACAATCCTAGTGGGACAAAATCTCTCATGCAGTATTTAAACTTCTGCAGATCCAATTGTTTCCCAAGGAGGAAGAAGTAAATGGAGTTATTTTGAGGAAAAGGAAGTCACAGAAGAAAACATTTGTACTTCTAAACAAATTTTATTCAGTTTTGTGTTTTAATATATTTTCCCTTTGTAGTTTTTTTTCCTATTTTAAAATTTGCAGCAATAACATAACACATTTAACAATGATGTTACAATTTTACTAGCTATAAGGTATATTTTATTTTCTTTATAGTAATTTGGGCTGTTGTGAGCTAATTAAAATTCCTCCTGGTACAACCCAGTACTATAAGGTGTATTTTCCCAGCTGATGTAGATGCGTATTTCCATTCTCTTCTATTTATTCGCGGTGCTTTGCACAAAATGCCACAATCCCCAGATTTTACCTAGATAAAGAAACACTGTTTGCCTCACGTATTTGACAATATTAAATGATACTTGGGTAGACTTTTTAAATGTGTTCAGATTGAAAGGAACTATGGTAGAGGGCTGCAAATTATAAATAAGGTGGAGATCATGAAGAGAAATTGATTCATTATTTCTCAAATACGTGAACTTGGAAGCACTCAATGAAACTACTGTGCAGAAGTTTCAAAATAGGTAGAGGATTTTTTTTTTCCATTTATAAACTGGATTGCTGTTAGCCTTGAATTGAGGTGCTGTTTCTTAGCAAAGTGTGGCAAGTATTTGTACTTTATTATCTAGAAGCAATTTTATTCTCATACCTAGCCTAACAGTATTTCTCTCCTGCACTTTTATTATTTCAGTTGGTGGTGAAATAGAAAGATAAATGTTCAGGATATTTCGCTCAAACAAATAACTTAAATAATTGCGTCTTTCTTAAAGATAAGCAATTTAGACCATATATTGAAGAAGCTGAGAAATCCTCAAGTTGCAGCCGTTCTGATTACCACAACTAATGTAAAGCTAAGTATATTCAACATCAACAATCTTTTAAAATTGTCCCTTGGACAGAAATGCAGCCCAGAAGAAATCTAGTTGAAATGTTTTAGCAAAATGAGTCACTCAGCTTTAGAGTAGGGAAAACTATTTTCATAAAATTTTAGTTGAAATTAGTTTTTCCTGTGAATTTGGGTTAAGACAAATAGGTTTAGGGTTTCTTTGTTTTGGTTTTGTTTGGTTTTTGGTTTTGTTTGGGTTTTTTTGCTTGAGGAGCACCTCTGCTACAACACTGTAATCTAAACTTTAGCTATATGATGCAGGTTTGGACAGATTTCGCTATCCACCAATTGAGTTCATATGTAATAAAGAGAAAAGTAAAAATCTTGTAGTGAGTCAAATATGTGTATACAAAGACTATCAAGGTTTTGTTTCTTTACTAGTATCATCTTGCCTCTTCAGAGCAGCTACAGCGTTTGTTTTGTTTTACCAAAGTAGTTTTATCTCTGTCGTCTTCTTAGTGAATTGTAGCATATGGAAATATTTCATTTACTTGTTGCTTGGGGATGGGGGAGTGAGAGGAGAGAAGAAACAAGATGCAAGGATGTTAAATTAGTATGCGCTAATTCATCTATGAATTACTAGCAATAGCTCCTGTATTACAAAATGATTCTTTCTTTAACTGTCTCGGCCTTATGGGTTATTGCTATCAGCTTATTCCAGTTTCTTCCTGCCTGCTGCTGAACTCTCAGTACTGCTCATTCAAATGAGGCTAAGGGAACCTTGGAAAGGAGATTGCCTCATCATTCTGCCACTTGTTACAATATCTTACATCATTTCTCGGTGTTTTGGATTTTTTTAATAGAAAGCTTCCTCTGAGTCCACTTCTAACCAAACTGTCAGAAGCTGTTTCCTCTACAAAATGATTATATATATATATATATA